CAGCTAGCCCACCGTGGGCCATACACAACAGATCAATGGCCCATTCTATCTGCTAGCCAACTTTGGGCTACACCAGAGCAGACCAAGGACCCATTCCATTGGCTATCCCATGTTGGGCCATACCAGAGCAGACCAAGAACCCATTCCATTGGCTAGCCCAACTTGGGACATACACAACGGATCAATGACCCATTCCGTCGGCTATCCCACCTTGGGCCAGACCAGACCAGACCAAGGACCCATTCTGTCAGCTATCCCACCTTGGGCCACACCAGAGCAGACCAATGGTCTATCGAATTCACTACTCTGTGTCCATCAGTGGTCAGTTCCTGGCGCTCCAGAGGAAGATGTAAAACCCACATAGCTCCCTCAGTTGGGCAATACCAGCCATGGGGGGAATCGTTTACCACGTGCTATCTAACTAATCATCCCCACCACCACTTCCTGCAGCACAATCCCTGGGTGTCTCCTAGCCCTGCCCTCCTTGTCTGATGGAACCTCATTACAAGGGGGCTGCTAGTCGGAAGCTAGCCAAAGCGAACTGAAAGTCAAATGTGGGGGAGACTAAAATCTGAGGAATCGGTCTGAAAATGGAAATCCAGCTTCAGTGCAGCCAGTAGAAAGAAGCGTAAACTAGACTGTAAGTTCCTTGGGGCAGGGAACATTTTTTATTCAGTGTGTGCACAGGACCTAGCACAATGGGGTCCTGGTTGAGGCTGGGCCTGCGAGGTGCTACCACAGTCCAAATAACTAGCGATGGACTGGGGACTCTCATGGCTTTATGGTAAGTGTGATTCGGGGGGGTGTGCGCGCGCGACTGTGTGTGTTGTGCTGAGAGAATTGTGTTGATTTGTGCGCAGCTTGTGTTATGCTATGAGATTCATGCTGATTTATGCAGGTGCAAATCAGCAGTGTGTGACATGAGGGACGATGTGTTTGTGGAATTGTGTGTGCTGGTTGTGTTGTGTTGGTGGTTTTGAGGAACTGTGGCAGCTGGCCCATCTGTGCAGTCTCTCACACAACCAATGAAGCTGTGGTGTAAGAGTGGTGATTGATTGACTTACCTCTGATACCATCATGGTCTAGGACTCTTGGCATGGCAGAGACACATGCCTTGATGTTGCAGGGGTATAATGTATAAAGTTAAAATGGCTGAGAACAGTAACAGGCCACGAAACCCAGTGATGGGGGAACCCGGTGATACTCGGAACAAAAAGAGCTCTCAGCCATGCTGGTAGCTGCTTCCACCACTTCACACTGACTCAGACATTACAGGCTTCGGAGTGACACACAGTGACAAGCCCGGAATCTCATTGTAGAGACAGGTTTCAGAGTAGCAGCCGTGTTAGTCTGTATCCGCAAAAAGAACAGGAGTACTTGTGGCACCGTAGAGACTAACAAATTTATTTGAGCATAAGCTTTTGTGGGCTACAGCCCACTTCATCAGATGCATAGAATGGAACAAATATATATATATACAGAGAACATGAAAAGGTGGAAGTAGCCATAAGAGGCTAATTAATTAAGATGAGGTATTATCAGCAGGAGAAAAAAAACTTTTGTAGTGATAATCAAGATGGCCCATTTTAGACAGTTGACAAGAAGGTGTGAGGATACTTAACATGGGAAAATAGATTCAATATGTGTAATGACCCAGCCACTCCCAGTCTCTATTCAAACCCAAGCAAAGTCTGGCATTGCAGCAGGCCAAAGATGCACAGACATCTTCCTGGGCCAACTCCTGGGATTAAATAGGGCCCTTGGCCAACCAGAGGGCGGCAGGGCATCGCCATGCTGAGTCTCTTGGGCAGTACTTCCTGTATCAGCTGATATCCACAGTGCTCCCTAGCTGGACTGCTCTATGGCTTCCTGGTAGCACTGTCAGAACATCAGCTATCCCGACTTTGCAGATGGGAGTTCTAGTCCCTAGATTATTACAGTCCCTACTTGTGCTATTCCTTTTGTACTCGTCTTTAGCAATTTGTCTATGTTTCTACTTCCTGTAGGATTCCATTTTTGATTGTTAGGTCATTAAAGAGCTCCTGATGCAGCCACAGTGGCCTCTTAGTATTCTTCCTATCTTTCCTTCACACTGGGATGGTTTACTATTGTGCCTTTAATATTGCCTCTGAGAAACTGCCAGCTCTCCTGAACTCCTTTTTCCCTTAGATTTTCATTAAGAACATCAAAACAGCCATAATGGGTCAGACCAATGGTTCATCTAGCCCAGTATCCTGTCTTCTGATAGTAGCCAATGCCACTACATGCACTGCTTCATAGCACTGCTTCGTGGCTGGATAGCCATCTGTCTTGGATGGTTTAGATGCAACAAATCCTGCATCTTGGCAGGGGGTTGGACTAGATGACCCTTTCAGTCCCTTCTAACTCTATTAGTCTATGATTCTAGGTGCTTCAGAGGGAATGAACAGAACAGGCAATCATTGAGTGATCCATCCCTTCATCCATTCCCAGCTTCTGGCCATCAGAGGCTAGGGGCATGCATGGGGTTGTGTCCCTGACCATCTCGGCTAATAGCCATTGAAGGAACTGTCCTCCGTGAACTTATCTAATTCTTTTTTGAACCCCATTATAGTTTAGGCTTTCACAACATCCCCTGGCAAAGAGTTCCACAGGTTGACTGTGTGTTGGGTGAAGTAGTACTTCCTTTTGTTTGTCTTAAACCTGCTGCTTATTAATTTCAATGGGTGACCCTTGGTTCTTGTGTTATGGGAAGGGGTAAATAACACTTCCTTATTCACTTTCTCCACACAATTCATGATTTTATAGACCTCTATCATATTCCCCCTTAGTCATCTCTTTTCCAAGCTGAAAAGTCCTAATATTTTTAATCTCTCTTCATACAGAAGCTGTTCCATATCCTTAGTCATTTTTGTTGCCCTTCTCTGTACCTTTTCCAATTCTAATATATCTTTTTAAGATGGGGTGACGAGAACTCCAGTCAGGCAGGGGAGAGCCAGGGAGCCAGAGAAGAGGAAGTGCGGCTGAAGGGCTGGTTAATGAAGACATCCTCAAGTTATTGATAAGGGAGCCCTAAGGTAAGGGTGAAGAAGGGAGAAGCAGGAGAGCTGTGGGGAAGTGGCCCAGGGAAATGTAGCAACTCTGGCAGTGAAAGGTTGGCTGCCGACAGCTGCTACCATTAGGGTCCCTGGGCCGGAACACGGAGTAGAGGGC